GATTTCATTGGCTAATAACTTAGTAAATTTTGCTACTTTTGTAATTTTCACTAGGTTGAGAGGTTGTACATACTGATCTTCTGACGCCAGTGCTGCCAGCGATATATATTTGCAGAGAGAAGCCTGAGAGCGGTCATCCCCCCGATTTAGCTGCAACCACAATTCAAGATGCCTCTATGTGCACAAAACGTGCACATTGAACTACTGAGCCATGTACACGATACTTTCCAGTGGGTAACATGCTATGTGCACAATGTTTGGTTCTGTTCCATGCTATGTGCACAAAGTGTCGGTAACACAAAGCTAGTAGGGTAACATTGATGTATATAAAATAAATTTTCAATAAAAAACATGCACATGTCATTATTTATTTTTATGTTAAAGCTTAATTTACAATAAGTTCTTTTTAACATAAACATACGTGACAATTTTGTTAATAAAAATTGCATCCAAGAATCGCGACATATAAGTTTTTTTAATTTTTGTAAATTCTATTTTTATATTTTGTCCTTACTTTACAATTTTTACGTTGCAAGATTATAACTTTTAGATACATAGCACGTTTTGTACACATAGAGGCGTCTTGAATTGTGGTTGCAGCTAAATCGGGGGGATGACCGCTCTCAGGCTTCTCTCTGCTGGTACAATCATTTTCTTTCTTTCAATGGAAAGAGGATTTAAAGAATGTTGTGAAATAAAATACATTGTTTGTCGAGAAAAGATTTTAATAAAACCAAATACAATATAATAATAGTATACAATAAATAATATTAAATTCAGAAAACATATATAATGAAGAAGAAATATATACAACAATGCTGCATACAGATGCAATAATGTGATATACATACATATATATGTAATACAATATACAATTATATAATATAATATATAATATACAATATAATATACAATATATTAAGACAATATTTTGTACAAATGAGAAAAAGATTTTTACAAATTTACAATATTTAAAAGAAATGTTCCAGTGGCAATATATTTAAGAATTAATTATTATTAAAGATGTGATGTTTTCTATGAAAATAATATTTTTAATATTATATAATAAAGATTAAAACTTACTTCGCGGAAATTTAAAACTAAAATTTGCTTTTATTAAATGACGATATTAAATATTTGCAAAAATAATTGGATATATAAATTTACCACAGTTTCCGGACATTATATTTATAAATATTAAAAAATTATTTTGTTCATATATTTTCGGAGATTGAGACATATCCAGCCATTGGGACATTTAGCTTATTACAATTTTTCTTAAGATATTATCCTGTATTCCATCGAAATGATATACAAGATAATACAAAATGAAAATAATATGTCAATATAGCAATAATATGTCAATAAAATCATTTAAACGTTCAAAAGTTTAACATATAATGCAAAATACTTTAGTTAAAAAGAGCTGAACAATACAATTTTTAATTTATAATCAAAAGTATCTCTTATAATTCAAAACGTAGTAATATTTTATTAATGAAATTTATTAATCTAAACATTTAAACGTTCAAACTTTTTCATAATTTACGCAAGAAATATCTTCCGTTTTTTGAAAGAGAATCTTGCTGTTTGCCCACCCGAAGTTTTATCATTATTTTTGTCATCAATAAGCTACAAACTAACTGCCAAAGCAGAAGTTCCAAAGTTTATCGACAGCAAAGAATTAAAAAAAAAAATACAATATAGAAGTGATAAAAAGTTTTAAGATCCTACCTACCTACCCAAAAACTTTATCTAGTAGAAAATCCTACCTAATTAGAAATTTTATACCTAAGAGTTCGTACAAAAAATCTTAAATAGATAAGATTTAATGAGATTAAATCGCGGAACCGTTTGGAAGTTTTTCGCGGAATCGTTTGGGAATTTTTTTCGCGAGATGCTTAGCGCAGAGCTCAGCTCAGTTACTGCCATTTGCATCTGAAATTCGGAAGGGAATTTTTCGCAGGATGCTTTAGCGCAGAGCTCGGCTCAGTTACCGCCATTTGCATCTGAATTTCGGAAGGGAGTTTCCGCAGGTATGCTTTAGCGCAGAGCTTGGCTCAGTTACCGCTTATTTGCATCCAAAATCTGAGAGCTACTACCTTGGTGTTTCTCAAAGACGCTAGCGCAGAGCTCAGCTCAGTTTCCGCTAGTTGCGTCCAAAATTTTTGTTGATAGTCGATCATTATTCAATGATCGA